GTTGTTGTTGTTAGCATAGAGGTAAACTTGTCAGATGTTGTTGTTGTTAGGATACAGGTAAACTTGTCAGATTTTGTTGTTGTTGTTGTTGTTGTTGTTGTTAGGATAGAGGTAAACTTGTCAGATGTTGTTGTTGTTGTTGTTGTTGTTGTTGTTGTTGTTAGGATACAGGTAAACTTGTCAGATGTTGTTGTTGTTGTTAGGATACAGGTAAACTTGTCAGATGTTGATGTTGTTGTTGTTAGGATAGAGGTAAACTTGTCAGATGTTGTTGTTGTTGTTGTTAGGATACAGGTAAACTTGTCAGATGTTGTTGTTGTTGTTGTTAGGATACAGGTAAACTTGTCAGATGTTTGTTGTTGTTAGGATACAGGTAAACTTGTCAGATTTTGTTGTTGTTGTTGTTGTTGTTGTTGTTAGGATAGAGGTAAACTTGTCAGATGTTGTTGTTGTTGTTGTTAGGATAGAGGTAAACTTGTCAGATGTTGTTGTTAAGATACAGGTAAACTTGTCAGATGTGTTGTTATGCCATGCTGTGATAAGCACAGGTTTGCTGCAGTTGCTGCAATGTTCAATAGAGTGTGTAAGCTTGTCAGATAGGTCAGATTGTTCACTTTACTGATAGGCCGTTCCTCTGCTGTGTTCACTTTACTGATAGGCCGTTCCTCTGCTGTGTTCACTTTACTGATAGGCCGTTCCTCTGCTGTGGCTTGCTCCTTCTTTCCTATCAAACGTCTGTTATCCTTGCCTCTCCTCCTCAGTAAGTAGTTGGCGGCCGCTCTTGTGTGGTTTGCCCCCTCTCTCACGCTCTCCAACATTATATCATTCTTATCTCTCCTCTTTCTTTTCTTTTTATGTTACTCTCTAGTAACACTTTCTTTCTAATCTTTGGCACTTTTATGACGCATTAGTGTTGCAAGTGCTGTCAAACTTACTAAAAACTAATATGGTAGAGAAAAAAAAAGAGCGACTTATTTTAATTGTGACCGAATCTCAATTTCCAGGGCTTGACCGTCAGGGTAGCAGAGGTGGAGCATAAGATACAAGAGGTGAATCTGAAACTGAGTGCACCACCTGCCACAACGGGCAGCATCATCAACTGCAAGGACGGTTCGTTCTTCTGGCGGATCGAAGGGTTCAGCCAGCTGCGCCGAGCAGCAGTCAATGAGGAGCAGGTGGTGCAAAGCTCGCCCTCCTTCTACACTCACCCACACGCTTACAAGATGAGGCTTCGCATATTCCCCAACGGGGATGGGGCGGCTAAGGGTAATGCCGTCTCTGTCTTCATGCAGCTACAAAAAGGGGAGACTGATGAGCTGCTGCCCTGGCCCTTCCAAGCCAAGGTGAGTTTGTTGTCATAGTTGTGGTCTACTCCTCCAAGCCTAGCTCACCCCCCACCCACCCCACCACCACCACCAATTCCCTTTCCCTAGTGGGTGGGTGGCAGGTGCTTTGCTTTTTTTCTCATATCAAACATCTATGGTCCTAAACCATTACTTTTTCTTTTTTTTTTGAGTTTGCTACTTTCTAGTAACACCTCTTGTCTTTGGCACTTTTTTTCACCTAATTGTGTTGCAAGTGCCTTAAACCTCTCAATAAAACAGAAGATCCTTCCCCAAACACACACACCGGCGCATTAACTTATGTGAGATGGGTGGTTGGAAGATGCCGTTATGTCCAACTTTTTGTTTTCCTCTGGTGTTTCTGTCCTTCTTGGTTTGTTTATATGACCCAATTGTGTTACAAGTGCTAGAAAAGTCTCGCTAAACAGTCGTGATTCATTCTCAGCATTAAGTGACCATTATCTAGTTGATGTGCTTTATTCTTCGATACTTATATGATCATATTATTGTGTTGTAAGTGCCGAAACTCTTACTAAAACCATTTAAAAACCCCAAACATACAAGTTAGTCCCACACTCTCCCTCCTTGTACAGGTGTACCTGATGGTGGTTGATCAGAAAGAGTTCAAGAATCATATTGCGGACACGTTTAATACAAGGCCCAACCTTGCAGCTTTCAAGCGACCGACCGGGGACAACCCGGCCTCTGGCTGTCAAAGCCTCATCTCCTTGGACCGCCTGGCCATCAGCCTGCCCACATACGTGATCAGCGACACCATTTTCATTAAGATACTAATTGAATTTGATGCTCAGTTAACTCAACGTATGGGCGACTTTGACCCAAAGAAGGCATTGTCATCTTCGCCCAATCGCCGATAAGGGCAAGGAAAAGCTAAAGGCATCGACGAGTTCGTGAAAGCGTCCCTCCCCACCCGCCCCCCATCATTTTCTGGCGAAGAAGAGTGCCTGAGGACACTAATTTGGAGACACACTCTCAAACTCCATCAGCATTTTTACCTGCCCTCCCTCTGCTCCCGTAGGGGTGAGTGACGCGCTAGGCAAGTATCCCCAAAGTGAGGGAAACGTTTAGTGACGCTCTCTTCGCTGTAATGCTAATGCTTGGGTTCCACTCACAGAATGCCTATATTACTGAATACACAAAGGGCTGTATGACGTCAGGGCTGAAACTGGACATTGCTGCTGAAAAAGCTTCTGCGCTCTTTCTGAGGAAAGGAAAAAACCCCAAAAGAGGCAGGGGAATGTCTAAAAATAGGTTTCCATGCTGCCCTATTGTGGGACAAGGCAGCCCTTGAAAAAATTTTTTTCCCTTTAATCAGTAAGAGTGCTTTTGTCCTTCTGTCTGTCAGCCTATCTTTGACCAGACTGAACTTGAGGTTTGGGATGATGATGCGTATTCTTTTTATATATGTGTTTTATGGGTCGGATGGGGGAAGAGAGGTGTGTGTACGTGTGGGAAGATTTTGTACATACTAAGTGTGGCCGAATCGAGCGAGCTTGCTGTAGCTTGTGAAGTGCGACAGCTTTCCATTGTGTGCACACAGGGTGATGGGCAGAACACTATAATGCAACATGAAAAGCATGAGTTGAAGATAAACTTTTGGGGGTTGGTGGGGGTTTTTTTGTTTGAATTTTTTTTTCCTTTCTCAAAACATAAATGAAAATAGCATCATTTCTTTTTGTTTTGTTTTGTTTTGTTTTGCTTCTTTTCTGGGCAGTTTTAATTACTATTTCTCTCAGATTCTCTTCCCACACTGTCCCCGTGTCATGTGTCTCTTTGTTTTCTTCTCTGACACTCTTTGTCCTTTTCCGTCTCCCCCTGGCAACACCTTGATGGATGACGGGTGCTCAGGTGTGGTCTGCTCCTTCTGTCCTATCAAACATCTGTCGTCCTGATTACTCCTCTTTCTTTGTATGTTACTGTCTAGTGGAACACCTCTCTACTCTTTGGCGCTTATATGACCTAATTATGTTCAAGTACAGGGAAACTTAGGAACTTACTCTTACTAACTCTGTCAAAGTAAACCTGGCGAAGGGTATAATTCTTTTCCATTCCAACACTAACCTGTTTTGCTCTAAAGCCTGCCAACTGCCCTGGGTATCTTTGGACTGGTCCTGATTTGACGAGCAAGTATTTGCATCCTGCACAGTGACAATAAGATAGATAGACTCTTCTTGTCTCCTAACAGCAAAAAAGTTAACTGTTATTGACTTAATTTTTCAGAACTTCCTTAAGGCCATCTGCTGGTGGAGTTTCTAAAATCTTTATCCCTTGACTATGTATGTACAACGATTTATATTAGTCAGACATCAAAGAATAAATTCTAGTAAATATCTATTATTTTAAGCGCATGGTAACCAAGCAAACATCCGCCATATTGGATGATTTCATCAAATTTCAAAAGCTATCTTCTCTCTTGGTTTTCGTCCGTTGACTTTCATTTTTAGCAAGTACAAATTTCAACACCTATGTAATGAACTAATAACGCCAGATTTGCAATATTGCGATTTTGAAAATAATTATGGACTCTGGGAATATGTACATGGATAAATACTTTAAAAATCTAAAACTTCCCAACAAAAGCACTGATTGTAATTTTATTCTTTTATTATCTTCAAAAAGGGCTCTACTTCAGTATAAGTCACCTATCGGTGTACATTGTGTAAAATAATGAAGTTATTCAGATGAAAAATAAAGGAGAAGATGTAATTTAAAGTAGGAAAAATAAATATTTTTTAAAAATTAAGAAAATATTAAAAAACAAGACCCAAAATTGCAAAATAGTTTTTTAAAACCCATTTTTTAATGACTTCTAATCAAAATTGATTGAAGCGGGCGCTCAAAACTTTGAAGGAAATGGATGTAGGTTTTAAAAATGGAAGGGAAAAAATGTATGGTCAAACTGGGTAAAAAATGGGGGAAATCTCACCAGCAGATGGCCTTAAGTAAACAAATAAACTGTCATAATTAATGATAATTGGTATGATTCCTGGCTTAGTGACCCACACCTGTATTTGTTTCTAGTGAAAGTGTGTGTCGCCCCACCCCCCCCACCCCCCCTCCGCCACATGTAAATACACACAAAATTTAAATCATTCTGGGGGGGGGGGGGGGGGGCTTCGGACCCTGCCTGTTGGGGCTAACCGGGATTGAAAGGGATACAACTACTCCGCAGAAAGACTGAGATACCTGGTAAAAATTTATCCCCTCTCAGGAATCAAACTCGGGTCTCCTGCATGCAGCAGTGAAGCGCCTAACCGCCACACCAAAGTTGCAGGTCCTGTGGTTTCTACCTACTGAAAAAGTGGTCTACTTTTATTTGTTACCATGGCTGTAAGACTTCATCTCATATATATGTATAGCGGTTTTTATTGCTGCTTTTGTAATCTGTTTAATAATAGCTGACATTTTTTCCCCCCGAATCAGGCTATCATCTGATCCAATTCACTTATTCCTTATTCTGCTTTATCACCCCCACTTATTTAACTAAATAAGGCAGGTGTTCCTTTCGGAAAACCCTTTTGAAATATTGGAATGCAAATACACAAAAACAACCTGTACATTTTACTGCCACGTGTTAGAAAATGGTCTATTATGATGGCTAGAATTTTTTCTATCGTTATCATCAAATGAATAAAGTCAAAATAATGACATGTATATTTTATGTGCTGTAGAAAGCTCACCGGTCATCTCAGATACTTCCTTCTCCTGGAACTGATTGCCTCCCAAGTTCCTAGCGGGTGGGGAGGGGGGGGGGGGGAGAATTTTGGTTACTGAGTTTTCTCCTCAAGATACGGTGCTGATGATATGCCGTGTGCACAAACAAATGAATGAGATTTGTGTTTCAGGGTGATGTTGTTTTATATTTAATTTTGTTATTTAAAATTTTGGGGATTTTTTTCTACTCTTTGCTTTGAACTAGTGATATGAGGAGCTTGCTATAGATATTTTCTGTTTAGTCACCCTTTTTTGTGGGTTGATAGCGTTTTAGCTGAGGAGTTTGGCCCCAGAAATTGATACTTTGGTAAAGACTTCAGTCCCAATATGTGAGGCATCGGGGTGAAATCAGGGGCTCGTCAAAATAATGAAATCGGAGAAACAGGCATTTTTCTGCAAGTTACGCAATTTTCATCATAATTTTGTTTTTTGACTCAACCCCTTTTTGTCCATATAAAAACATATTCTCATATGAATTTTACAGAAAAACGTTGATTAAAGGGACAAAGTATGTCATTTTTTCTGTTTTCAAGGACTCTTTAGCCATTGGAGTTACCAAACTTTGGCCACCATTTTCTCGTAAATTTTACCACTGAAACCAGGCGACCTCACCTCCTTCAAGTTCAAACGAAAATATCTTGACTTCTATTCAAGATAGATGGCTTTTTTTTTTCTATTAAAGCAAGGCAAATGAACAAGCTCTCAGATGATACCAATGACTCCACATGCCCCAAAATTGACGAGCACCTGATTGCACTGCGTAGTGACACATGTTATAATGGAATTGGACTTTATTTGTTCTTTAGACCGTTTGGGGCTGATGTTGTTACTGGTTATTTAAAGTCTTCTTAAAGTCACATCCCTTGTCTGAAACTTGTCATAGTTGAAATAAGTTTAAAATATTAAGTTTTCTTAGGGCTGTTCTCTGAAAGGCAAAAGCTCCAGCATGTAAGTGATATTGGCATTGGTGGAAGATTTCTTTAGTTTTTTTGTCACTCTTGCTTTTTGTATTTAATGCAAATATTTTTCAAAATTGCTTTTAATAACAATAATTTATGATATAGCGGTATACGTACTGATTTTTATACAGTAGTACAGCAGAACCTGTCAAACTTTTGTAAGATATTTTGTATTCCGGACAAAATGTATGACATCATAGGGAAATCAGGTGTTCATCAAAATAATGAAATCAAAGAATCCGGCATTTTTCCACTCGTTAAGCAATTTTATCAGATTTTAATTTTTGTCACAGCACCGTATAAATATTATGGCCATTTAAATAAAACCATTACTATGTGGGTTTTAAGTTTTACTAAAAAATGTTGATCAAAGTCTCAGAAAATGTAAATTTACAGTTTCGAAGGACACTCATGCTTTGGGAGGTACCAAACCTTGGGTGCCATTTTCTCACTAATTTGACCTCTGACACCATGCAATGGCAAATAGCTTGAATTCTATTCAGAATGGATGGGTATTGATAAATGAGTAAGCTTTAAGATGATACCAATAACTCCCTGTGCCCAAAAATGGACGAGCACCTGATTCCATGGTGCCATGACATAGATGTGTTGATCTGTGACTTCCAGTGGTGTTTTCTGTACCTACCAGCAATTCTCAAAGTGTGGAATTCTAGAAACAGAATTTTTGGGGGACTTTTTTCTTTTTGTATGTAAGATTTGCTTGCTATGTTGTAATTTAGACAGATGTGTGTGGTGGGACATTTTTTGGTCCTTCTTTGGCTTAACAATTGTGTCATGAAGCTTTGGAACCAGGGGTTCGTGAATTTTTGGACTATGGAGTTATTCGTATCAGCTGAAAGCTTGTTCAATTGTCTTGCTTTTGATAGAAAAAAATGCCCGTCCACCTTAAACAGATGGAGATATGCGATTCATGGAGGTGGGGGTTGCCTAGTGTGAGAGGTAAAATTATCAAGAAAATAATCACTTTGGTAACTCCCAAAGCTTGAGAGTCCTTGACAACTTTAAATTTTGATTTTTTATCATCTTTGATCAATGTTTTTGTAAAATCCACACAGAAATGCGCTTTTAAGTGGACATCAAGGTGTTCAGCAAAGAAAATGATTTAATAAAATTTGCCGAACAAGCGAAAAAATACCAGTTTCTTTGATTTTATTGTTTTGATGAGTGCCTGATTTCACCACAATGCCACACAGATGGTTTTGGAAGAAAGTGTAGAAATCTTAGTTTGTGATGTTGCTTCTGATGTGTTATGGTTTGATTGCTTGAATATATACAAGGGTAGTTGGTGGGTGTTTTAATGTGGTTTGCTCTCTACTTCGTCTCATTGTTCTTATTGTTCTCGTCTGTTCCCTGTGAAATACGGACAATATCGTGCTAACTTTCTGTGGACTATCCCTCAGCCAGACGTGTGTGATTTTTTTTGTACACAATTTCAGTATGTTTAGTAAGAGGGATTGCTTTTTTTGTTTTTCAACTCTTTAGCTGCTGTCAAATGAGCCTAACCGCTCTATGTATTTGTTGTAAGAGGGGAATGTTGCTGAACAATTCGTGATCTTTTATGGTATGAACATTGAATAAAGCGGAACTTGTTACAATATCAAACCTGGTTCTGATGCTAATGTCGTTTCACTTTCCTGGTAAGATGGAAACTAGAGGAGAAAGACTAGCTGGTGGTCGTCATCTTGTTTCGGTTTCGTTGTAACTTCTCTAACCTCTGGCTCTTTTATGACCTATTTGTGTCGCTAGTGCCGTTTATCTCTTACTTAAGTGCCGTTTATCTCTTACTTAAGTGCCGTTTATCTCTTACTCAAAGTAAAACCACCAGAAGAAGACAATTAACTGGGTGGATTTTGTGCATGATTGGGTCTACACAGCTTGCTGCCAGTGGTCAGGACAGACTAATCACATTTGTAAGAGAGACGAGATGGGATCAGAGTCTGTCCTGCTCCCTCAACTCTACCGTTATTCCGGTATTTTGTAATTTTTAATGATGACAAGATCTTAAAGCAGTGTGCATGATACAGTTTTGCCTGGGCGGTAGACATACAGGAAGTGAATTGCCGAAGTACTACTTCCCTCCCTTCTGATCTTGACTTCTTTGATATGCTCCAAAGGAGAGACGTTGTCAGTACGTTTGGAATCAAAGAAGTTGTAGGGGTGTGTCTTACTATCATAGTTAATAATGCTTTAAACATTTTTAATGTATAGAGAAGAGGAGATGTGGATTTCTTATGGCTACTTTTGGTTTTTCTTGCTATGGGAGTTACAAAAAGATGAGCGAATATTCACACTCTTGTTCAAGATTATTTTTTTTGCGCACATTGATCAAGTTAACTTGCCTCAGCTGGCTTGTGTTCAGTTCACTCTTGTCTTTGAGAAAATAATAGCAGAATAAAACTGTCTGAAAATATTTTTTTTCTCTCTCTGTCCTGCGAAGGGAGTCTGTGCAGTATCTATCTGCTCACTGAGTTGTATATGCTGAGGCCTTGTTGTGTGTTGAGATGATGCAAAAGTGTAAAAGGACTCTACTTTGTTTCAGTTTCTGGCCCTCACTGGCCTTATTAGAAAAAAGAAATGTTGCCTCATTACAAAATAAGAAGTGATGTTGTGAGGAATTGACTAATTGTCTTCTGCCTTCACAACTGTGCTGACTGGGCTACGTTGGCACTCTGTGGAGTGTTTTAATGGTGTCGGGAGAAAAGTAATTTGCTGCAGGGGGATGTGTTTAAAATGAGACTGTGAAGACATCAGATTGGCTTTCTTATTCTTTATTCTTCTTTCTTTAACGCTGAGGAATTGGAGGTGTCTTCTGACACGTTTTTCTACTTCTAGACTAAATGTAAGTACACGCTTGATGTTAAAGGCTACATGGGGGACTTTGATAAAAGGTGAAGATGGAATATCTGACCGTGATTTTTTATCTGATCAATCATGCAATCGAACGTATCAAAAGCAACCACCCATCATCAGGAGAAAGTGGTCATCTTAAACAGGTGGACCTTTTGTACAGTGACATTATATTACAGGTAAAATGCAAGGGGCAGATGATTGTCTTAGACAAGTGGTTGTTACAGCAGGTTCGACTCCATATTGAACTCTTTAATGTTACGTGAAATTCTGGAAGTCTTGTGTTTTAATTGATATTTTTTATTTGTATTTTGTATTTCGTATTATGCCCAGATAA